ACAATCATATACCTTGTGCAGCTCTACTATTGAAAAAGTACATTCTATTTGTAACCTCGGCATTCCCATTGACAGTAAATTAACACTCGATACACATGTTGAACAAACATTTAATAAAGCTCTTAAAATGTTTGGGTTTGTAATGAGAGCCTGTAAGGATTTCACCAACCCAGCAACATATCTTTTTGTATAAGGCACTGATACGCTCTCAGTTGGAATACGCTGTTGCTTTGTGGAATTCCTTTTTTAATGTCTATACCGATCAGATTGAGAGGTTACAAAAAAGTTTTTTAAGTCAATGTACTATAGATGTACGAAATATTGTTCGTATAATGTTATATTATACTATAAATACAAAATGTTAACTATAAAGCTCAGACGGCAACAATTAGTAGCAATGTTATTATTTGAACTTTCCCATAATAGATATGATTGCATTCCTGTAACAAATAAATTGCGATATCGTGTACTTACTAGGACACATTTAAGATCAATATGCTCATGTCAAACATTTGCCCTTCCCTTGTGTAGAACCATTGCTGGCAAAAGAGCGCGGTTGTAGCGCTTAATGCAAAATTATAACGATCATTTTGGGACATTGACATTTTTAATAACCGTGCTAACTCCTATAGAAGCAAAGTGATTAATAAGCTTATGAGTCGTGTTAACTAAAAACTAAATAAAATAAATCAAAATATATCAAAACATAATTTAAATTATATAATTGTTTGAAATCAAAACTAAAATATGAACAGTTTTTTTTTGTTTAGTTGTTTGTACTAGATTGTAGTGTTTTTAAATAGTTCAATATTGCTGATCTCTATAAGTAATTCCAACTAATGTCATTTTGTAATATTGCGTATTATGTAGTAAGTCCTCCTTCACATCTCTCACTTTTATAATTTATTTTATAGATTATTATCTGAGGCTGGTGGTATTGGCTTTAGTAAATTCAAATTTTAGGATTAAGATTAGTTATCAAGCATCTGTTGAAGTTGTTTACTGGTCCTTAAATAAATTTAAAAAAAAATAGTACCACGAGGGTATTAGGGTATCGACCATAGATAATTTAGAAAATCATTATTGCTGAAAATTATATAATAGAAAAATTGAATAATATAAAAGTGAATAATATAAATTTTTTATTATATTTTCAAAATACGAAATAAAACATATTTTCTAAACTGTCCGGAATAATAAATATATTTTAAAACTTATGTTTAAAACCTAAACCTAACCTAAACATGAGTTTTTTTTCTACCGGTCATACTTTGCAATAAAAACTTTTTATCCAAAGTTATTTTAAAGCTTGAAAATCTTCCAACTAATAGCAGCCATGAGTTTTACAAATCACTGATTTCAAAATACGATATCTAAGAAAGCGAAATAAATGTAAATGTTAAAAATTATAAGGGAAAATATTATGTTCCTGCGATTACATAAAAGTAAAACTACTGTATGGTGTATTAAATGATTTATTTACGGAATAATCTAGAATGTACAACTTCTTTATGTAGTTCTAATATAGCTTATTCTAATAACCACTAAATATCACATCGGTGTACTATAAGATAAGTAAAATGTTGTATGAAACTTCTAGATGAAAATATTTTCCAGCAATAATAAATTATTTTTAACATATCAGTGATAATTAAAACAAGACTGAATGTTTTCAATAATAATTCGAAACATTCTATTAATATTAAAAACCAAAAAATTGTATTTCTTTTACAAAATAATTTATAACATACGATTCATACAAATTAATGAAAGTACTATGCAAGGCTTAAGTTGTAAATGTTAATTGAATTTAAAGTGAATAATTAGTTCTACGAGACATTGTATAGCGGAATTTACAATAAACATCAGCACACATTTCAATAACACAGTAATAAAATAAATTTCCACGAAACATATTACATATATTCAAAACCATAAACATAATTTTATTACATTTTGATGTCGACGGTACTAATAATTTTCGCAGAATTATTTGTAATATTCAATTGGAAAATGGTAAACTTATTACTGTAATATGTTAAATGTTTTAAATGTATATATTTTATAATTATATATTTTAATTAAATTGCATTGCCCTTGTGAAACTCTATATAAGAACCATAATGGTTAAAATTCATTTTGTATTTTTCCTACTTAACACCAAAATTGCTTTCCCACGTCGACATATACATATTTACATAAACACTAAAGAATTATGTTTGTCGTAATTATAATCGAATATAAGTTGTTATTATCTGTGCTTGATTATGGGTCAAGAATTAAAAATTTCATAATTAGAGAGCGCACTGGAAACCGGCTTCGTGGATAATACCACGAATTATGCGGGGTATAGTCCTTTTATACCAAACCCGCTAACCTAAAGCTTATGATTACATTGTTTTGATTACATTTAGGAATAAAACTTTTCCCTATACCATGAGTCATAAATGAACATTTAGATTGTTTTGCTATTATATATGTATCGTGGTAAAGGAAGCATTCAAGTTTTGTAGATATAAATTAATTAGTCTAGTACGTTCACCCGTTCTGTGTCGATCGGACCATAAATTAATAATAAAAGTTCTTCCGGGTCATCTATAACATCGGGACGTCAAATTACTTAACCCGCTCGTGACCATGGATGACCCGGAATTCTATAAAATCCTATCATCGATCATACCTATAATTTAATTTTCCACGACAACGAATTTATTGAGAAATAAAATATGAAATTTATTTCTATCAAAATATAAATATTAAAAAATTCACTGGTGCGAGGCGAAGTCGACATTTTCATATTTACTCAAAATTCTGAGTTTCATGTTTGAATTCCCAAGGGCCATACGTATTATTTATTTATTTTATTTAATATTCTTTATTGCTCACCACATAAAAATATCAGATTATATATCGCTGGTTTGCGAGAATAGCGACGGAACTAAAAATGATTGATTTTAGAGAATGGCATTTTTTAATTTCTTTGTAAATATTTTAGTGCATACCGCAAAATGTAAATGATTTATCGAGGGATTGACTTTACTGATTAAAGGAAAATTTATCGTAGTATCAAAAAACATAAAAACATTTTAGAACTTTTTTTAAAATTATTTAAAAAATCGTCATAAAAAGGCGGTTTTCTGACATGAGTCTTTATTCATGAGACTCCAAATTATAAAAATCAACTTATGTCATTTATTTAGCTTTAAAGCCTCTTAAAAAATACAAATTAAAACTTATAACAGTGTTTAAAACTTTTGTACTTATAAGTATAACAACTAAAAATAGTTTTATAACATACAATAGTAACTTTAAATATAGTTATTAAAATAAATGAAAATTCTTCAAAATCAACAATGAAATAAAATATAAAACAGGAACATTAATTCTTCAAAGGAAATCTAAGTAAATTAGATCATTTAATTTACAACCCCAAATAAAATTGTCGATAATAGTTTGGAATTATATTTTTGTTAACTAAATCTACTAGTCCTCTCTTCTTACTCGTATTTTCTGAGATTCCGTTCCTTTTTTTATAAGCAGATTGCAATCTGTAATTTTCGTCCAAAGATTTTGATGCACGGCTAGTCTTTCACACATTTAAATTCATTTTCACCGTAAGATGTTTTATAGAAAAAGAACCCTTTGTGGTCAGCATCTACTTTTAAAATCTTTATATCTGCCATTTTCACACTCTCATTATCAGTATTTTTATTAAAATTTCTACCCACGTCAGAAGCTAGCAACTTTAATTCATAAAAAACTTCTATGATCCATTTCTACGACTTTGTAAGGAGGTCCTTTCTTTTTTGCAGTGCGAATAATTGAAATGTACTGATCCGATGTATAGATAGGGCCCGATATCAAAGTCTTTTTGATATTTCTTTCAATGAAAGAAGCACACTGTCACCTTCATTTTGTGTGTGCCCTTTTATCAAAAATTTATGCGTGATACTATTAATATGAGCACAGTAGAAACAGCGCACATGTACATACTGATAATAAATTTATTCTTTTGTTGTCCGCAGCAGTTGTCAGAATAAAAAATTATATCTAGTTTGGCTTCAGTTGTTAGATCTCTGCCAAGATTTTTTAAATATCCTAAAACACAGGTCCCTATTTCTATAGCTCCTCTATTTGCTTCTCCTTCATGCCATACGTAGCAGAACGCATTTTTATTTTTCATCTCATAGATCGTAATGTTTAAGGTATTCACTTTTTGAAACATAGTAAAATTAGATACATCTACCCTAGGACATGGCATCACAGCTTGTAAGTCATAAACTGCTACAATAGTTGATTCTTTATCTTCTGCTTCTTTCTTGTCCTTAACCTTCTCCATTCTTGAAAGCTCTTTTTCTTTTAGATGGTTCTCATATTTAGACTTCAGTCGATTTTTATCTTCTCCATTTGCTTTATTGTAGGCAACACAATCCTCACACTGATCCTTCTTATGTTGGTAAAATGCTATATTAAATTCTCCATTGAATATTCTATTAAACATGATATAGTTAGCACTTTTCTCTTCACAGTGTTTCACATAATCTCTATAAATTTCTGCAATAGTCTTACTTCCATCAATATATTCTTTCTGCGTATCTGCTCGACAGTAATGGCTTTCTATTTTTGGTATCGCCTTAATGAAATTTCTCAAACTATCTTTAATATTATCATCTACGCGACTGTGATTGCCATGTTTCCCTCGAAGATCCTCCACTATAATGCCTGAAACGTCACTTCTTGATTTTTCGGTAACTGTTCGAATAAATCTATCAGATACATCTAGCGTAGACATAAAAAAACTCTTACAAACTCGAATTTTTACGCCATCTTTGTCTTTAAAATAAAATGCGTTATTATTTCGACGTGTTCCTTTTTTATATTGATACGACGGGACAATAGAGGACATATTGAATGCTACAAAAGTTCTTTTACTTTGCAAATCAGGTAATTTATAATATGCGTCAAAAATATGGCATCGAGTCTCATCATCTAACTTTGTGTTACACTTTAACTTGCATTTTTCTGTACATCCTGGTCCTAATCGTCTCTCTCGTATAACTTTTTTTATTTTTGCCTACATATTCTTTCCCTGCATTTCGTAGACGTTTTGCTACATTCGATTTCCAAAGTTCTGGCTGCATTTTCCTCTTACGTGTAATATTTTGGTTTGATTTACGTGAAATATTTTCTTCTTCATTCTCTTCTACCGTTTCATCCGAATCTGACGATAAATCATTATCTTCAATGTGATAATTAGGATCTGCGATACTATCATCCGATGAAAAATCTCTTTCTTCCTTTCCTTCTTCACTTTCAGCATTCATATTGGTCAATTCAATAGCTTTTGGTTCACTTTCTATTTGTAAATTACTTTTTACTGCAGTCTCATCTTCCATATTATTATTTACTGACTCTATACTTACCTTATTTTCTTTGGTTTTATTTTCTAAGCTATGGCCATGGAGTCCTTTTTCTTTTAAATTTATGATTTTATTGGATTATTTATTACATTCTTCTGTTTCCATATTGCTGGAGGAAGATGAGCTAGAAGACGAGGAAGATGAGCTAGAAGTTAAAGAAGATGATGATGACGATACGGATTCCCACCCAGGACAAAAATATTTGTGTGATGAGCACGATCATTTGTTCTGTGTCTGGGTGTAATTTATCTATAATATTTATGTATTTAGAAATATATAAGTATGTTTATCAGTTATCTAGTACCCATAACACAAGCTCTGCTTAGCTTGGGACTAGATGGCGTTGTGTGATAGTTGTGGAATATTATTATATTATATTATTCAAGGAATTTTGGAATAGAAATTTTCTATCCCAAAATTCCTTGAACACACATTTCGTAATAAGAAGCAAAACCATGCCCACTTTTTTTTCAAAAAATAACGACATTTCTTATTTACGACAAAATAAAATCCGTTTATTTTTCGTGAATATAGACTCAAGTTACATAAAGTCGGTATAAAAAGATAAAAAAGATACTTACTTTTATCAGGAACAACAACGGATCACTAAATGTGTTACTATTCTTGAAAAAAAAAATCAACAATTGTTGCAACCAAACTATAAATACGTCGGTATTTTCGTGAATCGACCGTGCGTTCACTCTATTGTCATTGCCTCAACTGAGATGAGCCTAAAGGCTCATCTCAGTTGATCAAATGTCGTTAAAATTGTCTTTAGTTCACTGGACAAATTGTCTATGGTGTTGTTTATGAAATGTAAATCGAACCGTTTCTGCTGAATCACCGTCCGTAACAACTTTTTACTTGCCTGATTTAAGATCTTAGCGCTTCCTCGAATGTCCTTCTTTGTTGATATTTTGACACACGTAGGAATGAGATTATGGTCTCTGCATCTCTTCAAGAAATTTAAAGATGTTATATATCTTGCGCGCTTGGTTTTAAGATCTTCTAATCGGCGAATTTTATTTGCTATTACCAGTCCGTACTGGTTCACATAATGATTTCTATTTGATTTTAATAATTGCATCGAAACTTTAAACAAACGAGAAACATCAAAATACAATGAATGCAAAAATAAACAAATAGAAAAATACCAAAAATTAACGATCAAATCAAATGCCAAACATCCAAGTCAACGCCAGAACAATAAACAACCGTTGACCATAGACACAAACTATAAACAACGCACTGTCTATAATTTGTCAAAACATACACTGGACGAACCGACAATGAAAGTATTAGCGAAGGGAATGAACTTCGCATTAACTCCGCGAAAAATCCCGTACGAAGAAATTATCTGCAGTGTTGAGGATTGTCTGTTTAAGAATAATATCGGTAAGGAAGATTTGGAGGCCATACGTCAAGATATTTCGTCCTTGTTACGTCGTAGTTCAGTGCCGAAACCAAACCTTCCCAAAGACAAATTTACAGCGCTAAATAACTTACGGAACAGACCAGAACTCACGATTCTCCGCGCGGATAAAGGAAATGCTACGGTAGTAATGGACGCGTCGGAATATAATTTTAAAATACAACAACTTTTATCGGACGAAAGTACATATAAAAAGGTCAAAACAGACCCTACAATTAACACGCTTAAAACAACTAGCGATTTAATAAAGAAATACTCCGAAAAATTAAATCTCGACGTGAATTCGCTAATACCATCATTTGCCAAACCACCGAGGTTGTATGGGTTACCGAAGATACACAAACCAAACGCTCCACTACGTCCCATAGTGAGCCAGATCGATTCACCAACCTATAAGCTGGCACAATACTTAGCAAAAATACTATCACCACTAAGAGGACATACCAGAGCACACACAAAGGATTCATACCATTTTGTGAGTGAGATAAAAGACTTACATCTCGCTAACAATGAAACTATGGTCAGTTTCGATGTTCAGTCACTATTTACATGCCTACCTATTGTGGACTGCATCTCAATTGTAACTAGGAAGCTAGAAGAAAATAACATGCCTCAAGAATATGCAATACTACTTGAACATTGCCTCACATCTGGCTATCTATTGTGGAAGGAGGAGTTCTACAAGCAAGTAGATGGTGTGGCGATGGGCTCACCTGTGTCTCCCATAGTCGCCGACATATTCATGGAGGACTTTGAGGAGAAAGCCCTTCTTACTGCCCCTGTAAATCCAAGGTTCTACAAGCGGTACGTAGACGACACTTTCACAATTTTACCATCTGACAAAGTAACTGCATTTTTAGACCACCTTAACTCCATAAACTCTAAAATACAATTCACAATGGAGTTAGAGGCAAATAATTCTTTAGCTTTCCTAGATGTTTTAGTCATTCGAAATCCTGATAACACTATTGGTCACACTGTGTACAGAAAAAAGACCCATACCAACCGATATTTAAATGGTGAATCTCACCATCATCCTTCACAGTTAGCTACCGTGGGTAAATCTTTGTTTCAGAGAGCACGAGGGATCTGTGACAGAAAACATCTGGCCGCGGAGCTTCAGCACGTCAAGCAAGTATTGCAAGACAACAAGCTTCGGGTCCCGCGCCTACATCACAGTGAACGAGTGAAGCCGGCCACAGTCGAGCGCGCGCCTGCTCTACTACCATATGTTAGAGGAGTCACAGACAAGATTGGCTACATCTTGAAGCGAGCGTCCATTAAGACATACTACAAGCCGCTGAAGAAGATTAGTCAATTTTTACCATCCATCAAATGTAATATTCCTCTACAAGATGCAGGTGTGTACAAGCTAGATTGTGAATGTGGTCTCTCTTACATAGGTCAAACAAAGAGATCTATAAAAACCCGCGTGAAGGAACATATAGCTGATGTGAAGCACCGACGCTCCGGGAAGTCTGCAGTCAGCGAACATGTTCAAGATCGTCCCCACCACTACATTAGATTTGATAAACCACAAATTCTCGCAAAAGAACACCGATTCCTACCAAGGATGATACGCGAGGCTATTGAAATTAAAAAACATCCAAATTTCAATAGAGAAGATGGTTGGGTGCTACCATCTGCTTGGGATCCTATAATTAACAAAATTAAACCCAAACCCAAGCATACCACTGCAAGACTTCATGATACTATAAGCTCGTTTTGCGTAAATCGGACCAAAAATTAATATTAAAAAACTGAAGGTAGCCGGACTAACTATGACATTTGGACGTCAAACATCTCAGTCCCCCCGTGACCATGGGCGCTGTAAAGCACCCGAAACGTCGGGATAATAATAAAAATAAATTAAAGTAATTAAACGCGATAAAATCCGTAAATAATAGTTTTATTCAATCACATTCATTACATTTGTTTTTCTACACAATTGTCTTTATACCTCAAAAGCTATTAATTTTGTTATTTTTAATATAGAATAAGGTTGGATAACGAGCACACAGTTCACCTGATGGTAAATGGATGATGCAATGCTGTGATCTGATATGGAATGCCTAGTTTCCAGCAAAAATGGTTCAAGTTCCTACAGAAATACAGCAGCATTAAGCCGCAATTTTACGCTTCCACATATACGCACGCACGGCATGCCCACAAGCACACATGCACGCACGCACACACGTACGTACGGACAAACGCATGCACGCACGCGCGTATGTATGGACAAACGCATGCATGCACGTACGTCCGCTCGCACGTACGCACGCACGATACGCCCTAATACTCGCACGCATCACACTACTGACGATTTTTAACCTCATGGTATCCGATAAACGGCAGCATTGAGCTGTAATTTTACACTCGCATGCACTCTGTGATAAACTTAGAAATGAGGATATCCGCAATAGAACAAGAGAGACCGACATAGCCTAACGGATTAGTAAGCTGAAGTGTCAACCGACCGGCCATATAGCTTGAAGGAACCGACAACCGATGGGGAAAAAGTTTCTCGAGTGGCAGCCTTGTACTTGTAGGCGTAGTGTAGGGTGACTCCCCACTAGATGAAGTGACGACCTGGTAAGACATGCAGAAAGTCGATGGATGCAGGTGGCTCAGGACTGTGCTTTGTGGCATTCCTTAGGGGAGGCCTATGTTCAGGAGTGGACTTGTGAAGGGATGTAACGATGATGATGACGCATCCTCGCACGCACGCACGCACGCTCGTACGCAGTACACACGTACGCAAGCACGAATACACGATGCACACACTCACGCACGAACAATAAGTCCGCACACATACGTATAACTGACAATTTTTGATCTTAAGCTTATATTTTTGTATCTGCATTTAATAATCAGACAATGACATGATCCCATAAGTGCTCCATTTCCCTGAATTTAGCAAGAAACACTAAAAAAATAACAGAATTTAACTGTACTATTTGATCAGACGATGTTTTATCAATCCATTACAGTTAACCTCAAATGGCCACAAAGTGCACATTATTTAGACAACTTTATCTAATTAATAGTCCCATAAATTTGCATAATACAGTTAACCGAAAATTGAACGAGCATTGAGCAAATATGTTTGCAATTAAATCATATATTACAAAGTGAAGATAAGTATCATGTTGGCTAATTGCTCATTAAATAAAAAATATGTTTTAAATTTAACCGTGTAGTGGTGTTGTAAGAATATAAAGTATCCAATATCATTCCGTTGTTATGGTGGGAGGTAACAGAGGGAAACTGAACCAGAAGATGGGCAGTAGAATTCTTCTCTATGCGGCGTACCATCTTACTCCTTACAGAAGTACCACCTGTAGCATTCTATATTTGAAATTGGCTGCGGGTGTCCATTAACTGCTGCAGTTACAATGATATAGACTGTTAGTATATCACTTCAGTTTTATTTAAAAAAAACATTATAGTAATAAAGAAGCTAAGTTTCTAATGATATTGTAATATCACGCCAAATAAAATAATAACGATACCCTTTATAAAGTCAATATCATAGCACTACTAG